TTTTTTTTTTTTTTTCAGAGGGGAATGCTTTATGCATACTCCGCGCACCGGGGGGTCGCGGTAGTTATGTGGGATTCTCTTCCGGATGGGAAGCATACCCACTAAACCCCTCTGTTCCTCCAACGCATCGGGACGGGACCACGGGCACGCTTTCGCTCTCGTCCGCGGCCCCGTCTGCGCCAGCTGCCGAGGCAGCTCCCTCTCGGGGGGGGAGGCAACCCTCAGTCGCCGGTGATGGACTCCCCCGTGTCCATCACCAGAGGGCTATTGTGGGAGGGGAGGGCGGCGATATACTGCCGCCTTCTCCGCCCCACTCTTCTACGTCTGAGCGGGGGCGCCAGGGGATCTCCCTCGCGCTCCCGCTCTTTTGCCTCCCTCTGCGAGATAACTGACTCGCAGAAGGAGGCAACCGCTGTCCATGACCTCTCGCTTCCCAGCATAGCGCGTATGACGCCAGGAAGCGAGAGGTCGCTCCCGATCGTCGCCACCAGGGTGCGGGCAGTTCGGCTGCCTGGCCAACGGTGACGAAGTGGCCCGGCGAGCTGCCGCCGATGTAGATGTTATCAACATCTACACCGACGGTAGCAAAATAGAAGGCAAGGTCGGCGCAGCGTTATCCGTTTGGGATGGCGGGACGCGGAAACTGCCTCGACAACCAAGGTCTTCTTCCCGGACGTCGTACGAGCGTACCCCGTTATTAGGAAAATAGACCCGGATCAGGTACTTACCCAAGTTTTTACAGGGCACGGGGGGTTCTTCTCGTATTGTGCATTTGTGCAGGTTCCGCTGCAAGGGGAGCCCCTCGTGCATTTGCGATCCGGGTACCGAGGAGTCCGTGCTGCATCTTCTCACTGAGTGCCCGGTATCCGGTGCGATGAGGGCCGGCGCTGAAATTGAATTAGATAGTAAGATAAATATTGACACGATTAGCAATTTAGTACATAATAAAAAGACAAGAGACAGATTTTTAGAGTTTTGCAAAGCGTCTGCCCTCTTAGCCATAAATAGGAATAAGACTTAATTTATATTGTATCACATTCGTAGTTGTAAGTATTTATTTGTTTTAACTGCCCTTTTGCATTAGTTATAGTATTTAAAATATTGTTTTATTGGGTTTATTGTTTTTATTGGCTTTTAAATTGTATATAGATATTTTATTTTTATTGAAATTTTTAATGTTTTTAACTTGTATATAGATATTACTTTTTAACCTTTTAATTTTACATTTTTCATTGTTTTTAACGTTTTAAATTTAGATATTAAGGAAAAAAAACGAATGTGATAGTTATTTAATTTAATGTAATTGATTTTTAAAAAACATTTAAATAAAGAAATAAAGATATTCCCGCACCCCAGGTCCCTGACGTAGAATAAGTTAGGGGAACGAGAGGGTGGCATAGAGCCACCCATTAAAAAAAAAGGCAATTATTATAGGAAAGTAGAAGAGGAACGGGCTCACTTGAGAAAGGCAGGAAGCAACAAAAAGAAAGCAGTTCCAATAGGCGATGCTGGCTGACTTCCACGTAGGCGTGAGGATCCTTCGGGATGTTGCTTGATACGTAGACCAGCGTGAGGAAGTCTAGTTGCACGGGCTCCGATGTAGTCACAGCCCTTTGTAGTCCTCCAAGAAGATGTAGAAGGCTGGACGGATGCACGTGCCGATGACCTTTGTTTGTCCTTCGCTTGGCAAAAAGGTTGCAACTTCGAAATTGTTGTTTCTGGCTTTTGCAGGTCCTGTCACGGTCGCCACTTTGTTCAGTACAGAACAAGAAAATAAAAAACTGGTCGAAATATCTTAGATTCGCGTTTAATTAGAAGAAGTACATTAGTGCTGCGACGAGTGTGCGCGTGAGTGCGAGAATTGCGAGAATGAATTGAATGAAAAGAGTGCTTGAAGTTGAGTGACGTCGCCCCCGCGCCGCTCGGCCAGGTGTCAAGTTTGGCGTAGACAACAACTTCTATTTGTTATTTTAAAGCGGAGAAGAAAACAATTGGAACGTACTCACCAAAGTTGACATTATAAAACTTGATCACACCGTCACATCGCGTCTTACTCACGTATATTATACGAAACACCGAAAACAAAGGGTTAATTTGTCCTTTTAAACAAACGTAGTTACAATTTCCAAAAATATATTTCTGATCGTATGACTAGCCAATTAAATAAATAAAAATGGAAACATCGTATCAGGATGTACAAACAAGGACGTGAGAGTTTCACTATCCCACTTCTGATCTTAAGGATCAGAAGCAGGGAAAATTAAAAAAACAATCTCTTATACACTACTGCAGTACTTTTTGAATTAATAAGAAAACTAACAGAATTGAATAAATGTAATTAACACTAAAATGATTTAAAAATACAACATTAACTTAATCAACTATCAGAGTTAAAATGATTAATTATTTTGGGTAGTCAAACGGGCAGAGCTTCCGCTGGCTTCAGTGTTCGGTGGCGAGTGTGTCCCGAAAATGAGGGTGCGGTCTCTTATATTGGCATCACCTTACCATTATTTTTAAGTTCCACCCTCAGCTAACAATATATTTAAAGTAGGAAGTTATTAAGTAGCCATTGTCAACTGAATTACTGTTTAACGCATAGTGTGCAATTTTTAATGTTTATTGATATTGTAAAAGCTTCTAATAACTTTTAATTTGATCTTACTTTATAAGTTACGTCTTTCCTAGACTAAATAACATTATTATCGTTATTTAAGTAACGACCAATCAGAGCAGAGCCAGGTGGGCTTGAGAGGGGTCGAGGCACCATCTTTATATAAGGCGTTTTGACAGTTGTTACGAATATAGTCGTGAAGTGGAGACGGATCGAGTTGGGTCATCGTGTTTTGTGCTTGCACTTTACCCTAAAGGACGCCCACCAAGTTCTCAACCACTATAGATGTCGTTGAGAAAAGTGTTTCTCCGATAATCAACGCAACACTTGCGCCAGCGCCGTGTGTCGGCGTTCGATGGGTCAACACCTTACCAGCCGAGGCACGGCAGCAGAACACTCTCCTGTGGCTGCCGACTGGAACGGACATTGAACCATCGTGAAAAGTGCACCATGAACCCTTCTGCACGGAGGGAGGCCGCCCTCGGCGGGCAATGGAGTTCCCCGCATCCATTACCGCCGCCACCGCCGCCGCCGCCGCCGCCACCTCCGCCGCCGCCGCCGCCGCCTCCGCCGCCGCCGCCGCCGCCGTCGCCGCCTTTCACTTTTTAACCGTTTAATTTTAAATTTTTTAATTGTTTTAATGTTTTTTAACCTAGATGTAAGAAAAGAATGTGATATAATTTTAAGACTATGTAATTGATTTTTAAACACTTAAAATAAAGAAATAAAGATATTCCCGCACCCCAAGTCC